AGGGATTTGGACACTTGAAGAAAGACTATCCGAATTTCAGGAGAAAGAACAACACCTATCGAGCCACGTGGGATGATGATGAAGACGACGATGACCAGCAACACATGAACAACTTTGTCGTCAATTCTCTCAACAACTTCACGTGTTATACAGCCGCTCATAAGCCTTCTGATGCTGATTCAGGTATGTGTTCTTACACGTATAATTCTCAAAGTGATTCTGATGATTCTGGAGATGGTTCTGTTGAAGTAGATTTGGCTACCCATAAGCTTGCATTAGAGACGAGCATCAAAGCTGGAAAAATGGTGAAAAAGCTACAAGCTCAAGTCGACGTGTTTCAACATCGTTCTGCAGAGCATGAGAAGGAGATCACCTACTTGAAGGATGAACTTCAGAAAACTCGCATGAATGATTTGATGTTCATACCAGCAAGGAGAAACATAAGCTGGACGAATTTGTTGCCAGAATCACGATGTTAGAACATGAACAGAAGTTGTCCAAGCAGGTATGTGATGAAAAGGTTTTTATCATTGAGTCTCTATGTAATGAAATGTTTGTCTTGCAGAAAACTTAGATGAAAGGGAAACAGAGATTGTTGCACTCAAAAGAGAACTCGGTCGAGTGATGGAAGAACATGTAACGCTCAAGAGTTATTGTTCTACAATGGAGGAGAAACTCAACAAGAGTGAGGAGATTGTCAAGATGATCAACAAGCCCAAGTACTCATTTGCTGAAGTTCAGAGGCTGAGTCAACAGATTGGTACCTCAGACCAGAGTAAGAACGCTTCTAATCATAAACTGAAAGGTAAAGTTGGCGAGCCGAGCACATCTCTGATTAAGTCTGACCTGACTTTTGTCAAAGAAGGCTACAGCCTTGAAGGTAAGAATGGTAAGCCTAATTCTACCAAAACTCAGCATAAGAACTCTGGTAAGAACTTTGTGCCTGTTTGTCACTATTGTAGTATCCGTGGTCATATTCGCCCTAAGTGTTATTGGATGCATAATGAGATTATACTGGTCGAATTGATGAATGGAGTCCACATGGTGTATCCTTGAAAGCGCCTAAACTAAAGGTTGATGTGGTTAATCATGAACAAAAAAAGATTTGGGTTCCTAAAGGCAGTAAGAACGTGTGCTTATCTTCTATACTTGCATTGAAATCCACCTCTAATTTTGATTAGTATTTTGACAGTGGTTGTTCTCGTCATATGACAGGTCTAAAATCTAACTTGATTAATATTTTGCCTGTTCCTTCTAGTTTCGTGACCTTTGGTGATGGTGTTAAGAATAGAATTCTCGGTATAGGATGTTTGAATGTTCCTGGATTGCCCAAACTTCAAAATGTTCTTCTTGTTGAAAATTTGAAAGTGAATTTGCTGAGTGTGAGTCAATTGTGTGATCAAGGCTTTTCTGTGAGTTTCACCTTGAATGAATGTTTGGTTTCAGATAGGAATAATAACTGTGTTCTTACAGGGTCTAGATCGCATGATAATTGCTATTTGATTGATTATATGACTTTTGACTCATGTGATACGAGTTCTGGTATTATTAGAGATTGTGATGCTGATAGGGATGAGAATTTTGTTGATCAATGGAGTACGTCTGACAAATGTTCTTACACCGATCAGAATCTTGTGATTGAAACTTGCTGTTCAGAAAAGGTGTGGATGAAGCACATTTTTCTTAAATTTGGAACTGAGGTACAAGCCATTGACCTTTTCTTTGACCTTACTTATGTGGCTAATGTTTCCAAATATTCTGTTCAACATTCTCTTAATCGTACTAGCATGCTATGCCACTTTACTAGAAATTTGGTTGATGATGGATTAATTGTTCATAAATATGTTCCAGCACATAACCTTGATGCTCAAAGATTTATCTCTCTAAGGAAATCCTTAGGGATATGCATTCTCTGATTGCTTGCATGCCATTATATTATATTGTATCGTATATTAGTATACATATTATATTTGCATTGCGTGTATGCATATAGGATATTGCATTAGTCATAATTTGCATCTTGCACTTAATTTACCACTAAGTCATAAATGAAGTTCTGACTCTTCTGAAAGCGGGTGAGATGTTGATTGTCTTTAATTGATGGCATGTTCTTGCATACCTTGGAACAAATATATTTTTGTCAAAAAGAGCTGCCTTCACACAATGATCTAGAGTGATAGCTAGCACATGGTTCGTTTCCTTTGGGATCGACTGTGAAAAGAGCGTCATGGACAGAAAATGTTGTGAAGGGTGGTAGCTATTGACAACCACTGCACTTCATTGTGTGGTGTTTTTACTTGGAGTTATAAGGTGGTCATCTTCATAAATTACGTAGTGCATAATGATTTAAAAAAAAAAGAGTTCTTACACAAAAAAAACGAGTTCCTACACCGAGCATTGGGGCAAAGTAGTGGGGTTGACTTTCACTATTGCAGTGATTGTTACTAAGTGAAAAGCCTCGATGTAAATTAATGTTGTTGCTTAAAATCATTGGGTAAAGTAATGGGGTTGACTTTCACTATTGCAGTTATTGTTACTAAGTGAAAAGCCTAGTGAATAATAAAGCTTATGTTGCTTCGGTGTTAGAATCCTGGAGAGATATGACTTGCACTACATATATGTATGTATGTATTATTCCGCCTCTGTGTTGTTCCTTGGTGTGTTTGTAGCACAATGTTGATTTTAGATTAATTATGCATCAATCCTGCGTAAGTAGATTAAGAAAGGATTTTATTGATTTTAGTGTCTTGAATGCAGTTTTATTTTTATTTTTTCATCCTTAGGCATAATGCATGTGATTTCTTTCTTTAGTGAATTACTTGGATATTAAAAAATTGTGAGGGAGTTTATTTTTGGATGATAAAGTCTTATTCTTCCTAATTTTGAACTAGTTGGACACGTGTGTTAGTGTGTTAATGGGATTGTGTGTTCGGTTTTGATGGGGATGTTCTTGCTGCATGGTATTCAACCTTTCCCTTGATATTTTTTTTCGAACCTCACCCATCACGTCCTCACTATATATCTTCATTTTCAGAACCTAAGAACCCCATTTTTATTTCTCTTTCTCTTTGAATTTTTCTTTTAACCATCTGTGTTCCTGCATCATTTTCTAATGTGCTTCTGAAACACTTTGGCTAATGGCAAAAGACTAGAGAAGAGATGGACAGTCTTCAACGATTATAGATCAGTTCAAGCAACGACTTTCGTCTTCGGTTATATTTTTTTCTCTCTCTCATTCGATGTTCTTACTCAGGGGGAGATTTGCCTTTGGCATTTCAGTCTAAAAAGGGAGAGAAATAGGATGTTTCTGAAGATGTTGGGGATAATGTTATAGTTTTTTGCATCTGATTATTTGTGGTTGTTGTTTTTGACATGTTTCTGCAAGATGTAAGAACGTCTATGTCTTGCTGTTTGATTGTTTTAACTATTCTGACAGGGGGAGATGTATTGGTCATTCTGTTTGACTTAGGTTCTGATAGCTTGATGTGTTTTGATTGCTCTGATTATAGTCCTCATAGTTGTATTGATAGGAACAGTTCTGATGTTCTTGCATTGCAGGTGTTTGAGTAGTTTACTTCCTGATGTTCGAATGTAGATATTTGCTTTGCTGTTTTGAGTTTGTTTTGTAGGATATCTTCAAGAAACACGGTTTTCGAACTGAATGCCAAAGGGGGAGATTGTAAGAATATTGGTTTGGCATCATCCGAAAAACCTAAGTGTTTTCTAGAAGATTTTCTTGTTAGGCAAGCAAAATAAATTAAAGGGAAGTTTTCTATTTATTTACTTGTTAATTGATTAAGTTCCTAATATTTATTATTACTAATATATGGTATATATTTAGAATAATGTGTATTATGGAGTCCTAAACCTTTAGGAGAAGGATTACATAATATATATCTTATATATTCACTTACCATATATGTCACATGCATTAATGGCTTGATTTTGTGTCATAATTAGTTTTCTCTTTCTTGTAGGACAAGGAATAGGTGACAAAGACTATGAAAGGATGAGCAATTCGTGCATAAGGAGTTCTGGACGTTCATGAGAAGATCTAAGGAGGATTTGAAAAGATTCACGACAAGATCTTTGAAGATTTGGAAGATCGGCTATTTTAGGAAAGTCTTGTTCTTACACGAGTTGAGGAGAGATCAAGAGAATATTTACTTTCCATGTTTCTACATCATACACGAGTTGATCTTAAATTATAAATACATAAAATTTTATATTTTTTAAAAAATTGAGGATGATACGGATTCTAAGTTTTTAAAACTTTGATGGTACACATATCGATATCTATATTTATAAATAAACATATTTTTATATAAAATGAGCGTTCCGACTAAAGTACAAGCTCCTTATTTAACATTCAAAATCGGGCCCTCCTGAATAAAATTTCTAGATCCATCACTTCATAGTATGTATTGTAGTCATTAGGATCTGTGTAGCTGCGACCATGAAATTCATGATTAGAAGCAGCTTTGTTTCGTGTGAATAAGTGAAATTAACTAGATTTTCCTACCAAAATACAGAAGATGGTTTACGAAGTCGGTTGAAATAATAAAATGATGCACATCTCAATAAAATAGATATAGATAAACATAAATTAAGCAGTTAACCTTTATTAAATTATGCAGGAGGATTCTTTCATATATGGAATATATTAAAAATGTTGATGCATAACTAAAACGGAAATTTCCAGTTCAGTCCCTAAGTTAATTTATTTCCTCTGCACTCCCTACTTCTAAAATTCTTTTTTCATTTCACTCCCTATATATATACTAATACTATTATTATTCATTTATTTTACTTAAAAATCATACAAAATTAATAAACATAGCAGATCTCTTTCTCACTTTGTCTCTCTCTCAATTCATCGCAGATCTGAAATCGCCCATTCATATCTCTCTCTCAATTCATCATCTCAATTTCTTATCTTTTACATTTTCCCGACGATAACACGTACAAAACAGTCACTGTCAAGCAAACCGTTGCAGGCCATGCTGGAGATGCTGGCGGACTACCTGAAGAGGAGGTGGGAGAGGAAGATAAAGGCGGAGGAAGATGCTGCCAAGAAGGCACTTCATGAGAATTTATCGTTTTGACCCCGTTGGACTTGAGTTGAANGAGTTGAAGTTTGCTTCTTGAAATTTGGTTGAAATTTTTTTTGGTTTTATGTTTTGGTGTATGGTTTGCTTGAAATGAATCTTGCGCTTGAATACTTGTGGCCTGTGGTACTATTCAGAGATGCTCTGTCCCCATCACTCGCGGCGGATTCTGCCTCAAGCTGGCGCCCGAGCCCTATCGTGTGGTCGATGAAGCGGAGTGTGAGATTTTGCAATTTTGGACCTAGGTCGGGTGGCGCGGTGGTCAAGGCATCTGCGGAGGAGGAAACGGGTGCGGTAATCGACGGGCCTCCCTGATGCTTTGGTGCTGGGAACGCTCTTCGTGCTTTGGTTCATGTTTATTGTAACAAGCAGGTGCTATTCATTCTTATTACAGATTGTTATTACAAGCAGGTGGATATAGATATACCAAGATTTGGGTTTGGTTTGTGGGGTTTGATGCTCGACTTCACATTTGAATTGTATCTCAAGGTTTTGTGTTGTAATGGCAAATAACTTTTCAAAAAAGACAGGCCACAGAGGAGGAAGTGTTGCTTAATGTGAGAAAATGGCTTGAGAAAGGTGCTGTTGCAGGTTGGGATAAGGTCATATTGAAATTCAAAGACAAAAGCCTATGCAAGAGATTGTCAAATCCTGATTGGTTTCCTGTGACACCGATGTGGTTATTTAGGGGGCTGTTGTTAAATGTCTCTCATGCAATTGTAATAATGTCTATTATGTTTGTTAGCAGTCCGCTGACTGCTCGAACTTATTGTATGTTGAGCTTCTTTTCTGTTAATGAATATTTCTTTTTTTTTGGAAAAAAAAAATGTTGTTAGTTTTGTTCCACTGCTGCTATTCATTGTTATTACAGATTGTTAGCTATGTAGCTGACTAACTGTCAAACACTCAAGGAGAAAATACTGAAAACAAGAGTTGAAATTAGGTGCAAGAGAAATTGTTTGCTGTTGTAAATTGGGATCCTTAATCATTCATCAATCTACACCAAACAAAGTAAAGGGAAACGAGCGAGAGAACAAGAGACAGAAGAGCAGAAAAGTCTATCTTTTTATTCATCGTATATCACCCTTATATAGGGTTTACAAGTGGGAAGCCCTAAAACATAATTCTCCTAACTAATGGACTTCAGGCCCAATTGTATATTAGTAATGTCCACATTCATATATTTATAACACTCCTCCTTGGACATTACTACATGTCTCATTAAAAACCTTGCTAATAAAAACCCGCCAAGGGAAAAAAAAATTAGTCAAGGAAAAGAGTACATGATTTATAAAAATTCATGTGTTTTACTAGCTGCCTCATTAAAAACCTTTAACTAATAAACCCAATGGGAAAAACTTAGTTAAGGAAAAAGAGTACAGCATTTGGTCTTCAGGACCTAATCTTCAGGATTATTTTGAGTTTGTCCCTCCCCCTGAAGACAATAGTCTTCCAAGTTTACGCATACCAATACCATAAATATATTTTTCAAAAGTAGATGTAGGAAGGGACTTGGTAAATAGATCTGCCAAATTCTCACTAGATCGTACTTTTTGTACAATAATTTCACCGCTCTTCTGGAGCTCGTGTGGGTAAAAGAATTTTGGAGCAATGTGTTTTGTCATGCTTCCTTTGACGTACCCACTACTCATTTGTAAAACACAAGCTGCATTATCCTCGTAAAGGACAGTGGGGGTTATATCATTTGTAATTCCACATGACTCACGAATATGTTGGATTAAAGATCTTAACCATACATATTCTCGTGAAGTCTCGTATAAAGCAATTATTTCTGAGTGGTTTGAAGATGTAGTAACCATGGACTGCTTAACTGACTTCCAAGATATTGCAGTACCACCACAAAGAAAAACATAACCAGTCTGTGATCTAGCATTATGGAGATCAGACATATAACCAGCATCCGAATAGCCCACCAATGTTATATCTTGATTTTTCTTATAAAGTAAACCAAGATCTTGTGAACCTTGAAGATACCTAAAAATATGTTTAATACCATTCCAGTGTCTCCTCGTAGGAGAAGCACTAAACCTTGCTAGCAAGTTTACTGCAAATGCAATATCAGGCCTGGTGCAATTTGCAAGATAAAGTAATGCGCCAATGGCGCTCAAGTAAGGAACTTCTGGTCCTAAATTTTCTTCGGTATCTTCTTTAGGTCTAAATGGATCCTTATCCGCTTCAAGGGACCGGACAACCATTAGTGTGCTAAGTGGATGAGATTTATCCATGTAGAATTTTTCTAAAACCTTCTTCAAGTAGGTTGACTGGTGTACAAAAATTCCTTCAGGGAGATGCTCGATCTGCAGGCCGAGGCAATATTTGGTTTTACCCAAATCTTTCATTTCAAACTCCGTCCTTAGACATAAGCTAGCTTTATCAAGCTCCTCTCGTGTGCCAATTATATTTATGTCATCAACATAGACTGAAATGATGCAAAAACCATTCAATGACTTCTTTATAAACACACAGGGGCACACGTCGTTATTCACATAATTATTTTTCAACAGAAACTCACTCAGCCGGTTGTACCACATTCTACCCGACTGCTTTAAGCCATATAATGACCTTTGTAATTTAATGCTATACATGTTGCGTGTTTCATTTTCCCTTATTTCGGGAACCTTTAATCCTTCAGGGATTTTCATATATATATATTAGTGTCTAATGACCCATATAAGTATGCGGTCACGACATCCATTAACTGCATATCTAAATTCATAGTTACTGCCAGGGATATCAAATAGCGGAACGTTATTCCATCCATTACAGGAGAATATGTTTGATCAAAATCAATACCGGGTCTCTGCGAAAACCCTTGAGCAACTAATCTCGCTTTGTATCTCACCACCTCATTATTTTCATTTCTCTTTCGTACGAACACCCATTTATATCCTACTGGGATAATATTTTGAGGTGTACGCGCAATAGAGCCAAAAACTTTTCGTTTATTTAGCGAGTCTAGTTCGGCCTCAATTGCCTCCTTCCATCTTACCCAATCGGAGCGCTTCCGGCACTCTGTAATTGATTTAGGTTCTGGATCCAGATTATTAGAGATGGTAAAGGCAACTATAGAGGCAAATGTGTCGTCGACGACTATGTTACTTCTATTATAAGTTTCTCCTGTATCAACAAAATTCGTAGCTACTTCAATATTTACATCAACCAGATCTTCATCATTTCCCAATATATTATGATCTGGATGTTCCGCAATCCTAGTAGTTTTATTATTTGTTGCACGTGCATTTAAACTAGGATTTTCGCCTTCTGGACGATTCTCTTCTGGAGATTTCAGGANGGGTCGAATGTAAGTATGGTATAAGCCTGAGGAGAAAGAGGGAAGTTCTTCTACAATTTTCTTTTGACTTCCTTGTGAATGAGTCATAAGAAGATACTCTATATTATTTTCAGTCTTAGTTTCAAGATGAAAACCATTTGATCGAATATCTTTAAAACTGAGGAGTGTTCTTTGCGATTCAGGGTACAAAAGCGCATCATTAATTATTAATTCAGTACCCTTAGGAAGAGTAAATAAAGCTCTGCCGGAGCCGACTATCATGATTTTATCATGAGCAATTGTAGAAACACTCCCTTTCTTTTCATTTAAAGTTTGAAAAAATTTCCTATCTTTTAAAATAGTGTGCGTAGTAGCACTGTCGACCAGACATAAAATGCCCTCTTTCTCCATTAGATGCAAACTAATGAATGGTTGTGGTACACTAAAAGAAAAGTAAAATATTATAAGCAAACATAACAATAGTCTCAATCAAATCATAGTATAATAAGCAAAAACGAACCACAAATTTTGGTGATATAAGACATCATCAGATTCTACAATTTATTCAATTAAACTTAATATGATTTTTGAAGGATATTATGAATGATAACTTTAAAAGGTAAAATAAAGCCATGAAACGAAGCATTTATATTTTTTATCTGTCAAACATACTGCTACTATAATCTCATCAAGTAAAAACGTAACAGTTAAAAACGCCGTAATGTCACATAGTGCAGGATTTTAATAAACAAGAAGCTATGCCATGAGAACTTATCAATTATAATGCTATTTGCACTTTCTGTCACTTACTGGGCGCATAGCTAATATATATACGTAAAAAAAATGACAATCCAAAAAACTCCACATATGACCCACTAGATAAATTCATGACAAACCAAGAAATCCTATACGTTTAAAATCTCAGTCTGTAACAACTCCCAAATGTTTTCTAGTGCATAATCTAGTGGTGTTCACAGAATAATGATTTGAAAATGAAAGCACAGACATGATATCCTAAAAGATTTGATCTACCATGGCCATGTTCAAACAAAATAAATCTAGATTTTCTTTTACACAGTTGCAAGCCCGACTCAAATATCGAGTGAATTAGAAATCCTTAATCTCATTTAAAAAAAAACACAGAAAAGAAAAGAAGCCGAGATTCATCAACCAAGCCAATCAAAAACAAATCAACGATGCAATTTCCAAAACACATTCACAAGAGGAACAATCATGCGAATAAATGGAATAAGCAATAAAAACACCTTGCAGGACATGCGGGCAACACCAATGAAGAAAATAAGCAATAAAAAAAATTAGTATGGGAGCAATTGCCGTAATTCAGAGCATGCGAGCAATAAAAATACCTTGCAGAACATGCGGGCAACACCAATGAAGAAAATAAGCAATAAAAAAAAATTAGTATGGGAGCAATTGCCGTAATTCAGAGCATGCGAGCAATAAAAATACCTTGCAGAGCATGAAATAAGCAATAAAAAAAAAACAGAGCAGGCGGGCAATTGCCGTAATTCATTTGTACGATATAGAATTTAGTACGAATTAAGAAAAATAAATGGATCTCGAAAATACCTTGCAGGAAAAACACGATTTTTTCCTAGGGCAACACTAATAACGAACTAGAGCGTGTTGATAACGTGTTGTAAATTGGGATCCTTAAGCATTCATCAATCTACACCAAACAAAGTAAAGGGAAACGAGCGAGAGAACAAGAGACAGAAGAGCAGAAAAGTCTATCTTTTTATTCATCGTATATCACCCTTATATAGGGTTTACAAGTGGGAAGCCCTAAAACATAATTCTCCTAACTAATGGACTTCAGGCCCAATTGTATATTAGTAATGTCCACATTCATATATTTATAACATTTGCAACAAACATAAGAGATTCAATTCATTTGCTCTTGACATTTTAGCAATTGCAAACCTGCTAGAGAGTTCGGTTTTCGGTTTATTGTCGGTAAAAAACTGAAATAGAATCGTGTTTTTGGTCATTAACTCGACACACTAATGAGAAAACACTACTAATACACTTCATTTTATTGAATGACACACTTCATCTCGTATAATCATCATATATGACTACTCCAAATTCTACCTATATGTTTTAACTTCCACTATTTTTTTATCCAAATCAAGCGTTAACGATCCACGTGAAAAGGTAGACATGAAGTATAAAAAAAAAAAAATCACGATTCCAAAAACAGTACCTGTTTTAGCTAAAATAGTACCGCATCTTCTTCTACGTGGTACCTGTTTTTAATAGATTAGTACCTACTTTTGTGAAGGAAAATGGATTATTTCAATTTTGGTCAACATTTACAAAAAGTAGTACCAGACATAGAGTAATATAGTACCAGTTTTGTAT